CATATTGTGCTTTAAAATTGCATTTTAAAACGTTTGCACGCCTTGTACCATGGTAGCTAATGGGGTTAACAATTGTTAGTTGTCAAGAGCAGTTTTAGATGTGGTCCCCTTTCTATTGCACGTGTGATTATGTCAAGACTGCTTGGGGGGCAGAAGTAGGCAGGCTTTCATCCAGTGTACCGTGGTGAAGATCTGATCTTTCAAGAGGTTGGTTAATTGGACACATGTGCAATGCTCAAGGTGCAATGAAAAGATAAGAGCAGTGAAAGCCTGCAAGGTGGATGAGGTTTTCTTAGGTTCAATTGCGATTATATTTTCACCTCTGCTTTTGCTGGTGTTTTCATGCATTTTATTCTTTTCCTTTAGTCTCAGCAGATATTTTTATATCTCTCCATGGAGTTTTCTCAGGCTATGCTATCTTCTGGTTCTCAATGTAAATATGCTTAGAATAAAATAAACCCTACAGTGTTATCTGTGAGTAGCTGGTTAATAAAAATCTGTGATAATATTATTGGAAAGTGAATTGAAATGTATTTGTATGTATAATGTATGTTTTTCCTCATTATCTAAGTAAACTTTAGAAATTCTTATTCATTATCAATGTATATAAAATAGTATTCTTGAATTCAATCTTTTTATTCCTGCTGGCATTGACATCAACCATGTAATGCCTTGGATATTAAGGTCTACAAACTCTCTCCTTTCTGAATAAAATAATTGAAGAAAATTATCCAAAAGCAAGTCATGGAACTTCAAAGACATTGTCAAACTAGGGAATGTAATGAAACATTCCATTACATTAGTGGAAGTGCAAAGCTTTTATAAATATAATTAATTAATCAAACATTATGTAAAAGATGTACACACTAGTGTACATTCAATAAGGAATATCAAAATAAACATTATCTGACTTTCCTAATGAATTCTAAATTTGAAATAACTCCTTTCAATATTTCTATATGTCAAATGGTAATTTTTTATCAACTTATCTCTTTAGTGGGGTCAATATTGTGAGAAATCAATAAGGAATCTGATGTTTAAAGAGATGTCCCTGGTTGGCAAAATTCAGTTTCCTAAAACTAAAGAATAAAAATATACTTTCTGGCCCCTTTAAGAAGTACACTTTTATTCTTTACAAAGTGGGAAAAGAACATTTGATTCATGATTTAATAAATAAGAAGCCAGCATTATTAAACTTTTACATGAGCTATTTTCTTTTTATTTCTTAAGGCATTTGTACATCTTGAGTAGAAATAAAATATCTTATTTTATTTTTATATATAGTTGAAAATCATTGGTGAAAAAATGTGCTTTTAACTATCTCAGAAGACAAAGAGAATATTTTAGTAAGAAATACTATAGTCGACACCCATTATAGTCTAAAATCTGCCCCCAGAGCAATGTCAATTTCAGAAAAATGTTGTGCATATTTAGTTATCCAAAATATATGTATAATATTAAAAGAGGTAACATGGAAAATTAGAGGCTCTCAATGTTGCACTATCAGATCTGGTTGTAATTGAATGTACATCTGTATTTTAAATTTATAAAATATATTGCTGGCATCTGCTTGTGTTTTCAAATAACTGGATCATAATCAAAATCTCTAAATAATGATATGTTGGAATGGCTTAATGAAAAACGCATTTTTGTCTTTATCGTCAATTAATTGTGCAACTACCATCTATTGAAACATAAATCAATTGGAATTATCAAATATTTCTTTTTTTTGGTTTCTGATTTTATGCCTTCATTCAGTAAATATTATTGAGCTTGTTCTATGTTCATGGCCTGTAACTGTTGGAGAAGACAGACGAGGACTTGTCTTCAAGGGGCCAGTCAGTCTAATGTGATAAACAGATATTTGGCAAACAATTACTCAATAAACTAAATGAAAGTGTGCTAAATATTATGTGAGAAACACTCATGGTGATTTGAAAATATATAAGAAGGGAACTCTCCCTAATTTGATGTGGGTAAACCATGAATCATTTTTTTTTTTTTTTTTTTGAGACAGAGTCTCGCTTGTTGCCCAGGCTAGAGTGAGTGCGGTGGCGTCAGCCTAGCTCACAGCAACCTCAAACTCCTGGGCTCAAGCAATCCTGCTGCCTCAGCCTCCCGAGTAGCTGGGACTACAGGCATGCGCCACCATGCCCGGCTAATTTTTTATATATATATATTAGTTGGCCAATTAATTTCTTTCTATTTATAGTAGAGACGGGGTCTCGCTCTTGCTCAGGCTGGTTTCGAACTCCTGACTCGAGCAATCCGCCCGCCTCAGCCTCCCAAAGTGCTAGGATTACAGGCGTGAGCCACCGCGCCCAGCTCATGAATCATTTTTGAAGCAACCATCATCCACATTTATCTTAGAATAAACTTAGAAGCAAGCCAGGATTTTTTGCTAAAATTTGGTTTGTAAGAGTTTACTGTCTTCACCAGTCTTATTATCTTATTGAAGGTAATTTTCAGGGTAAATTTCAGACTTAAGAGTTAAGTGTATAGTGTAGTTCTGTTTCATAGTTGTGTTTTAGAAAAAAATGGTTATTTTTGGTATACATTTTCCTTACTCAGCAATAGCACACAGACTTGAAGTCTATTCACATTTTGCATACTCAGATTTTTGCAACAAAATATTTATTTTCATTAATTATTTAAAATATATCCAATAATAATAGTGCAACCTACCTAAAATGTACAGCTAGGTATTTTTAAGTGTCAATGTAAGTATGCTATAAAAAATCTTTTATTTTAACTAACGACAGTTTCTTTATAGCCCTAATCTGATAATCAGTCTAATTTCATAATTAATATCAAGGATTGGCAAACAATAATATACCAAGAACTTATCTTGAATTACATCTGGGATTTGGACTGTGAATTATTGTAAGAAACTTATATTTTGAAATTTAGAAATAATGACATAGTTTACTCCTAACTTAAAGGTCTAATATAAATAAATTTTTATACACTGTGTTCAGGGTGGAAAATAAGAATTACAAGCACAGTGGGGAAAGAATAAATACCAAAAAAGTGGTGATTAATTCTCAAATTTTATACATATTACGAGGTTCCCTTATTGAGAAGGGTCCTATATTCTGTAATTCTCAAGCTAAGTATTTAGAAAAGCTCTAAGAAAGCATCACCAGATTTGTGAAAAATATATATATATATTGACAAATTAAAACTAAGATTAAAATATCATCAGGTATTGCATGTTGACAGATGCAACAAATCCACTGGGTTTAAAAGTTTTGACATCAATACTTTGGGAAAACTACTTCCCTAAATGTATTGTAATCCTTATAATTATTTACATATTAACTTTATACAGTAATGATATAGGTATGCTTAATATCCAATATTTATTTCCATGCAATGATGATTAGTTAGCATGTTTACAGTAAGTCTCTTTTCTATTTACAACTCCATTATGCTATTTGTAAGTAAGGTAGTATCATCAAATTTTAAACATCTTTCTCGTTAAACAAAATTAACTGTTTAGATTAAACATGCTAAGGATACATCATATTGATATTTCATTATTTGTAGACTGACAATTATTTTGTGCAGAAGAACGTATATAAGGCTCAAGCCCTGAAATCTAAGATAAATCATAAGACTGAAAATCAGAAGAATCAGTATCTCTCCACAATGGCTTTGTTATTCATTAAATATTTGAAGTTGGCAAATCGCTTTCCCTTTTCTCTAGTTTTACTTACCCATAGAGTGAATCCCTGGGCCTATTTCAGTGGTTTTCACTTTTCAACAGGAGAAGCCTCTTGCAGACAAATCTTATGCATAATCTCCATGTGAATAAAAATAAATAATAAAAATAGAGCTTTTCTTATAGGAGCAGCAATGAGAGAGGGGGCAGGAATGTGGAGTCTGGGTGCTAGAGCCCAACCTACATGCTAGCCCTCACCTTCCCACACACCTTTGGAAATGGCTCCAGGGCACATCAAACAATCCCTCAAATTCGTGCAGCATATTTTGAAAATCATGTAATTGTATGATCTTTAATTTTCCTTATAATTCCAAAACAATATAATTCTCAACTTTACAAATTGAGATTTGTCTGTTACAGAATTGAAAATCGTATCATCTACCTTAGAAAAAGATATATCCAAATATAAGTTTTAAATCTATTCTAAGAAGGATTCTAAGGAGAAAAGCCCACATTTCATACTTAAGCCACTGACTTAAGAATCTCATAAAACAGCTCTGTAATACCAATAGTTCATATTTAAGAAATGAATAAATTGATAAAACACCACATAACCCCTCAATGTTCAAAAAAATGCAATAATCTTTTAGTTGAATTTAAATTCCCTTACCCATCTATCTCTATACCTCACTGGGGAAATGAGAAAAAAATAAATTTTTTGTAAATGTCAAGGCAAAATGTGCTCAAATGATTATCACTTCCCATCTTTGGTAACAAGAAAGTGAACACTTTTAAGTTCTGTCAGCACACATAATACACAACTATTAGACCCTTGCAGTCATAGTCTATGGAATTAAAAAGTTAGGTAGACGTGAGCAAGTTCTACAAAATAGTTAATTGCCCAGGAAAAGAAAGCCCTGCAGGAGAAGGTCTTCACAAGGGGCCATTTTCTTTGCCAGTTACTGAAATGGATTTGATGGTTGGTGAGGCAGGAGTAATGGGTTTTCACCGTGACTAATTTCTGATGTCCTTTATGAGCAAGGATTTCTAACTACCTAAAAATAAAGAAATGAATAAAAGCAAACTTTTAGTAATCCCCAAAGGACCCAAAGTGAAATTATCGCCGCAGTTACCTGATATAGACTCTGTGACACAGTTCCCCTTTTGCAAAAATACTTAGTGCAGATCATTCCTTTCCAACTTGCGCGTTTAGAGACCTACTTTATAACACTGGGGGGGCTGGGAGGGGGGAGTTAATGTACTAGGTCTTGAAAGGCCTTGAAATAGCTTGTAGTTTCCTTGAACTAGCAATGCGAACTCCTGTGTTGTTTTGTAGGTCCGTGGGGCCGGTGCATGGGAGACGAGTGCGGTCTCGGAGGCATCCAAACCAGGGCCGTGTGGTGCGCGCACGTGGAGGGATGGACGACGTTGCACACCAACTGTAAGCAGGCCGAAAGACCCAGTAACCAGCAAGACTGTTTCAAAGTTTGTGACTGGCACAAAGAGTTGTACGACTGGAGGCTGGGACCCTGGAATCAGTGTCAGCCCGTGATTTCAAAAAGCCTGGAGAAACCCCTCGAGTGCATTAAGGGGGAAGAGGGCATTCAGGTGAGAGAGATCACGTGCATCCAGAAGGACAAAGACATTCCCGCGGAGGATATCATCTGTGAGTACTTCGAGCCCAAGCCTCTCCTGGAGCAGGCTTGCCTCATCCCTTGCCAGCAGGACTGCATCGTGTCTGAGTTTTCCGCCTGGTCCGAGTGCTCCAAGACCTGCGGCAGCGGGCTGCAGCACCGCACCCGCCACGTCGTGGCGCCCCCGCAGTTCGGAGGCTCGGGCTGCCCTAACCTGACCGAGTTTCAGGTGTGCCAGTCGGGGCCGTGCGACGCCGACGAGCTCCTGTACAGCCTGCACGTGGGGCCCTGGAGCGCGTGTTCAGGGCCCCACCCGCGACAAGCCAGACAGGCCAGGAGACGTGGGAAGAATAAGGAACGGGACAAGGACCGAGGCAGAGGAGTAAAGGACCCGGAGGCCCGAGAACTTATCAAGAAAAAGAGAAACAGAAACAGGCAGAACCGACAAGAGAACAAATACTGGGACATCCAGATCGGATATCAGACGAGGGAGGTTACGTGTACCAACAAGACGGGGAAAGCTGCGGATTTGAGGTATCGTTTTATTACCATTCACTGTAAAAAAGTGTCTTTCTGTCGGGACCATGAGTACTAACTCCTGGAATACACAGTGCACAACCTAGGGCAAGCTGCCCCCAAATTTAAAATTTATTTCTGAGCTTGTGTGGGGTTTCTTGATGGTGTTTCTACTGTGGTAATGTTTGGACCCTCTAGTTAAATTGAATTTTCCTTTCAAAGTCTACAGAGCATGAGCAATTCTCCATGAGAAATACTGCTCTTCTCCATGAGATCATGCAGTTTTCCCCTACAATGGGGGAAAAAATATCTTAGAGGTTGGAGTATTGGGATTTTGAATTCAAATACTTTAATGAGTTAATAGAATAAGACACACGTGTAATCTCTCCAAGTTTATAGCATTTTCAGAATTACCCTATAAACAAAATCTGCTGTAAACAACAATCCAGGGAGCTATACCTAAGAATAATTTTCTTGCGCATTTTGTATAATGGAATAACTCCCTCCAGAGAAGAAAATGGGAATCAGCAGAAAGTAAGGTAAGTGGAGGATATTTAATCATGAGTAGCCTAGTTTAGAAAACATGTAATTAATTGGCTGCATTTTCTAGACAGAAATTATTTGGCAAAGTATCTTTGGGTAGATAATGACAATATTATGAAAGACTATCTTGTATGATTTATTTGTTGTGAAAATAATATTCATTGAGGATTATCTAAAGGACATGTTCTCTGGATATTCCAATTTTTGCTCTTGGATAAACCAGACCATCTGGGAGTGGCTTATCTGGATCATTTGCATAATTGCTTTTTCTGAAATATTTATGTAGCTATGATTTGAACTGAACTGAGAAATTATAGTAACATCACTCAGAAATTTATATCAGATTTATTGTAGAAATGACATTGAGAGTGTCATCTACTCCATCATGCAGTCTGTTTTCTTGATTAAAAACATATAATTTAAATTTCGCTGAATCGGCCCGTGTGCTTCTGGTGAGCAGATGGATTGTTTTTTTTATGGCCACTGGAATTATTGTTACAGAGCACATTTTCCTGTTTACTTTGGCTGTTGGGAACCTAAATAGGACTGTGTGGAAAGCATGTTGTTTATTAATACTTCTCACTAGCATTATCTTTTTTCTCACCCTCCTTATTTTTTCTTCATTCATTCTTGTCTAGTGATTTTTGCTATGTATGCACTTTGAAATCTGGTATAATGCCTTTTTAGAACATGATATAGTTTAAATAAATAAGTAAAGCAAACAATTAATTCATCTGTCTAAGATAACTTTCTCTCATCATAGCATTGTTCTGGTTGCTATTTTTAGGGTATTTGTCACTCTCTCCCCTCTTTGTACTCATCCAATTGTATTTTATTTCAGCTGTACCATGATTTGCTCTTTCTGCATTCTGGTCCCATCATTCCATTTCCCTGTGCTAATGGCTGTCTGTTCTGCCATCATTCTCCAGGTTCCCTACAAGGCTGTTAGGCTGTTTGTGTGTGTGTGTGTGTGTGTGTGTGTGTGTGTGTGTTTGTTTACTTGTATGTGTGTACATGTGATTCTGTGACATGTGCATTTTTGACTCAATCTCCACTTTGTTCTTGGCTAACTATCCTTATTCTGGTGATTTCATGATCTCTTTTCCTGAAATATTCCAGTTATATTAGTTACTTGGCTCCTATCAAGGAGTTGAATGAACATCCAAGGCAATTTGAGTTGTGTCCTGCTAGTTAGCAGGGTTAACATTGGGTTAGCATTCAGTAGACGTTTAATTTAATGTTTACTACTCAATTAAAAGTACAATTAAGATAGTAGCTACCATTGCATAGAACCTAATATTCCCATCCAATTGTTGGAATTAAGCAAATATATTTAAAAATGTGCAGATTATTAGGTTGTTGCAGAAGCAATTGCAATTTGGGATCATGAATTTTAAATCATTATAACTGGGCTCAAATACATCTTTATTAATCAAAATAGAAACCATTACAATCAATACATTTTTGCCAACAAGAAATGTTTGTTTATTCCTATAGTGTAAAATTGTATGCTTCAGGAGTCTATGAACTCTTAGAAAGCATTTTATGCATCCTGCTGGTTGTGGAAGTATTTTCCCTGCAAAATGTTGTCCAGATGCTTGAAGAAGTGGTAGTAGGTTGGCAAGAGGTCAGGTGAATATGGTGGATGAGGCAAAACTTTGTTGCCCAATTCATTCAACTTTTGAAGTATTGCTTATGTGATGCATGATCAGGCGTAGTCTTGGAGAAGAATTGGGCCCTTTCTGTTGACCAGCTGCAGGCGTTGCAGTTTTCAGTACATGTCATACATTTGCTGAGCATACTTCTCAGATGTAATGGTTTCTCCCAGGATTCAGAAAGCTGTAGTGGATTAGACTGGCAGCAGACCACCAAATAGTGACCATTACCTTTTTTTGGTGCAAGCTGTGCTTTGGAGCATCTTCTTATTCCAGCCACTGAGCTGGTCATCGCCAGTTGTCATATAAAATTCACTGTTCATGGCACATCACAATCCAATTGAGAAATGGTTCATTGTTGTTGCATATAAGAAGAGAAGATGGCATTTCAAAACAATGATTTTTTTGATTTTCAGTCAGCTCGTGAGGCACCCACTTATTGAGTTTTTCACCTTTCCAATTTGCTTCAAATGTCAAATGACCATAGAATGGTGACTTTGAGTTCTTCGGCAACTTCACATGTAGTTGCAAGAGGATCAGCTTCGATGATTGCTCTCAATTGGTCGTTGTCAACTTGCAATGGCTGGTCACTGGGCTCCTCATCTTCACGGCTCTCATCTCCTTTGCAAAACTTCTTGAACCACCACTGACTGTACATTTGTTAGCAGTTCCTGGGCCAAATGCGTTGTTGATGTTTTGAGTTGTCTCCGTGGCTTTACAACCCATTTTGAACTTGAAAAAGGAAATTACTCGAACTTGCTTTTTGTCTAACATCATTTCCATAGTCTAAAATAGATATAAAATTTGGACATAATATAATATAATATATATTGTATATAATATAATATATAAATAATATAATAATATAATATGTAAAATATATAAAACAGCAAGTAATAACATGCTGACATTTATTTAAGAATGTATTCCTATATCAAAGGGAAAATTTCAGTAGTGCTAAAGCTGCAATTACTTTTACACCAACCTACATATTTGTCAAGTGTTTACATCCCACTAGAAGTATCACATATAATTACTCTAATCAAAATAGTGGTATCTATGGTTTAACTTATTAAGGTATGGATTAAACTTAATGTAAAACAATTAAATTAGTTATTAATATTTTCTTATATATGAATTAGCATATATGATTAAGAAAGTTAAAGTCCTGTGAAAAAGAGACAAAAAAATCAGGTATTTTGACCTCTTTTGCCCAAATATTACTCCACGATATCAGCAAAGCCAGTGAAGTGAAAACCTAGTCACTTGTATCACCAAAGCACAAGGCTACAAATCAAGAACTGGATTAAATTTAAAATATTTTATCTTCCATCAAATTCATAAACTAATTTATTATGTAATAGGATAAAAATTATTTACTAAGGCTCAAAAAAGTCTTAGTATAGCAAGTGAATTTAGCTAAATAAACCTAAGAATCTTTGGAAATTAGTTCAGAGGCAAATAGAAGTAATTTTAGTGGAGTTACTGCTGAAATAGCCAAGTTAAAGATGATATATCTGCCCTGCTCTCTGTTTTCAAACAGACCAAAATCAATAAGAATGAAAAACATAAGCAAAGGTTCATTTTTATGACAATAGGAAATGGTCACAGACCCAAAGCATAATTGATATAGAAATTTGGTCAATGTGGTGAAATTATACTTATCTGAGTAAGGAAACTTAGAGGGGCATTACGTCTTGTCAGCTTTCATGATCACTCAAAATATTTCAGAGTAGCCTGAGCTTTCTGAGGGGCCAAGTCAGTGACACCTGCTGAGTGTGGCATGGCCCGTGTCTGTGAAAAGGGCTGCAGAAGCACACTTGAGTCCTGTTTGAAATCAAAACAGCACAATAGGCAGGGCTGAAAGAGGAAACCCAATATGCTGTTATTGGCAACAAAGCCTATCAGTTTGACAGATTGAAGGATGAAAGTTTTGACAACCAGTGGGAGGGAATTCTAAATCACTGCATACACACTAGGACACGGAAGGCTTCCCTGTGAACCAGTGACTTCCAGCCAGGCTTCAGTACAGTCTTAAGGCCAAGAGTTTGTAAGAAAACATGCCATACATTTCTCTAGGAAACCAAAGATATGAAAAGAAATATGGTTTTCTGAACCCAAAACAGAAAGAATTTCAATATTCAATAAAGAGATAAGAAAATACAATGAGTTTAAAAATGATCTGACAGGGCGGGCGCGGTGGCTCACGCCTGCAATCCTAGCACTCTGGGAGGCTGAGGCGGGAGGATCGCTCAAGGTCAGGAGTTCGAAACCAGTCTGAGCAAGAGTGAGACCCCCATCTCTACTGAAAATAGAAAGAAACGAATTGGCCAACTAAAATATATATAGAAAAAATTAGCCGGGCATTGTGGCATATGCCTGTAGTCCCAGCTACTCGGGAGGTTGAGTCAGGAGGATCGCTTGAGCCCAAGAGTTTGAGGTTGCTGTGAGCTAGGCTGACACCATGGCATTCTAGCCCAGGCAACAGAGTGAGACTCTGTCTCAAAAAAAAAAACACAAAAAAACCCCCAAAGATCTGACAGAGCTCAGAAAAGAAATGGAGAATTAGCAAACGATACCAGAAATATAATTCACATTAGAAGCAACAAAAAGTGGAAAAGTAATTGATAGTAGGAAGAGTAAGTGATATTGAGAACATCAAGTAAACTAATTTTTCAAAGAGACAATGGATTTGAAAACAAAGAGGATTACTATATGAAAGTCTGATGTTTCTGAAGAAAGAACCAAAAAAAAAAAAAATTAAAAAAAACAAAGGAAACACAAAAAGATAAGACTTTCCTGAAATTAAGGAAGACTTTA